CTTCTCCTTTCCCTTTACACACAGATGCAGAGGCAAGTGGATCTAGGTTTGAATCCTATTCTGCTATTTACAACCTATGTGATTCTGGGCAAGTTCTTTGTGTCTCAGTTTCTTCATCTGTAAATAAGAATAATGATAAAACTATCTCCTGAGTCCAGCTTTCTTGCCTCTCCTCTGGTATTGATCTCTAGCAAAACTGAAGCCTGGGCCAGCCGGTCTTCTTTATCTGTCTGAATCTCGATCCTTTCAGGCCCCTGAAAATAACTTGTCTTGATGAACAAATCCTTGAGAAGGAAGGCCTTACTCACTAGTATTCAGAGTTCCTATAAATGGCTTTCTGAAGACGATGACTACATTACAAAACATCTTCTCTTGGGCACTTTGTACTCTTCTAGCCAGAGATGAGCTCTGCAGTCGCCTAACAATTTGGATTTTATCAGAATCAATTCTATTCAAACCTGAGAGTAAAGGGTAGATGGCTGACGGATGCAAGACACAGCAGTCCAGCAGCCTGGGTCATCACTCAGGGACATGAGCCTATGTCATGCATAGAAACCATCTTGCTTCTAGTTGGAACCAGAGTTTGGTTAGATCTGTGAGGCCAGCCAACCCCCCAGGTCTCTCTCCCTGTTGCTTTTTGGCTAAAATGTAAGTTCCTTCAGGCTCTCATCTCAACACTGCTCAACATCTCTAGCCATCCCCTGCTCACTCACCTCCCCCCAGTGTTGCCCCTGGGCAACTTCATTCCCCACACCTTCCAGAATGCCCTTTTGTGGTGAACTCCACATGCCCTTACACTGCCTTAACTAACAAGGCTTTCTTGGAATGGCTCCCTGAGGTCCTTTCATTCTCAAAGTTTGAGATGTCATTCTTCTCCCCGAGTTCAGATGAGGACATGCAGTCCTCTTGGAAGGAAGGGGAAGATTAATTGTAAACAAAAGTTCCACACAAATAGTACGCGTCACTCGGAAAAAGTGTTCGTCATCTTTCTCCCTCGACTGCATCTTCCAATTAGTTCCATTTCCATCTCATGGGACTACATGGGGCGGGTTCTTAATCCAATCCTACCTCCCCAGTGCAGCTTTTATCTAACCACACCACTCTGCCATATTTACGGTATAAATCAAGCCAAAGAAATTTACTTGCAGCTCTTTAAAAACAACTTAAGAATCATTACCTACCAGAAAGAAGAGCCTCCTTCCCTCCCACTTGGATTTCAATGCCTATGCTCTGTAAGGACCCTGTTTACTTCTCTCAGAGTATTCACGGCCTCAGCAGTCAGTGGTTCACTTCTTTCTGCCACTGACTGAAAGCTCCAAGGGGATGCAGATCATGCGTTTTGGAAACCTGCATCTCTCTGACCCCAGAATCTGGGCTCTTCCTCACAACACGAACGCCATCTCCCAACGTATGGCTAGCACAACACTGGACCCACAAGGCATTCTAAGAGGAACGGTATTCAAGTATCTCAAGCTGGAAGGAAACTCATATGTCATTAAATTCAACTCACATTTTGAATTTGAAGCCCAGGACACAGTGGCTTACCCACGGTGCACCAGGAAGTTAGTGGAACACGGTCCCAGGTAGTTTCCCCTGTACCACTAGGAGATCATTGCAGACTATAAAGAGATTGCAATCTAATCTCCAAGATGAATATAAAATAAGCACACAGATAATTATAATACAAGGCATTATATGAGAAATAGAAAGTTTGAGAGCAGATGGGAGGGGGAGAAATCACACCTTTAGGCTGGGGTGAAGTAATCAAGAATGTGCAACAGTCCTTAACCTTTTTGGTCACAGGACCCTTTTACTGTCTTAAAAATTACTGCAAACCCCAAAGAGCTTGTTTTTTTGTGATTATATCTATTGATATTTATATTAGAAATTAAAACTGAAAACATGAAAAACTAATTAACTGAAATCCACTGCAAATCGCTTGTTCGAATCACTACTTGTATCATCAGTAAAGTCTCATGCTCAGATTGGTAGATACGAGTTTTCCAAAATTCTAATTTTTGCTTGAAGACTTACGTTTTATCATTGGCATCAAGTACTAACCAGTAATTTTCCTGGAGGTGACTCACTTTGTTAATTTTTGAGAAAATGTGTGCTAAGTAAGTCTGAATACCCCTAGTTTGTCAGTTGTTCTTTCAAGCAAAAGTGGATTCCATGAAAAAAGTGGTTTGTTCAGCTCACAGATTGCACAAGTGCTTTTTGTGTACTCCCCATTTAGTCACACAGAATATTTAAAAGATATGCTTTATTAATCTTACTGCCTTTATGAAGGACATTCTTAAGTGAAACTGACTTTTTCTATTGCAAGTGCGTGGTGCCGCTGCTTTGAATCGTAAGGTGCCAGCAGTCTTACCTATTATGTGCACCACGAGTATAAATGTCAACAAAGTGAAAACGTGTAAAAGCACTAACGTCTTAGTGTTATGAAAATAGGTTTGACCATGTGCGCCCCCTGAAAGACTCCTGGGCACTCCTCTGTGAGTGGACAACACTCTGAGAACCACTAGTGTACAAGACACAGGCTTTGAAAAAATGAGTCGGATTTTGATAGAATAAGATGAGGGAGGGCAGGAACATTAAAAGACAGTAAGATGTGAAGTATATCTAAGGAACAGTGGGTGGGCTGTAGGTCTAGTTGGAAGAGGAGGGAAGAAGAGGCAGAAGAAGCCAAAAAGATACTGTGAAAAGCCTGGAAGGCCTTCATGAAGATCAACTAGGTTTAAACCAGACAGGAAGAAGAGGCTAGGGTGAGCAGGTGTTTTTTTTTGTGTGTTTGAAAGTTATTTCAACTTATATAAAAATAAACCTCGACATGTTTACATTTACTAGTTATAAAATAAAAGTGACAGCAGAGCTACCTTTCTCATATGGAATATTTAGGGAATGAATAAACAAACGTGGTGAAATGCTTTCCTATAAGAAACATGTTGTACCAATTAATTTAGATAGTATTACTTTTAGAAAGAAGAATGAGAGAATTTATTAAGCACTTATTCTGAACTAAAAACTATACCGTTATATTATTTTCACATGTTATATGATTTAATCCTTACAACAAGCTTACAAGAGAGGTATCACCACTCATATAGATGAGGCAAAGGAAGCCCCAAATGTTTAGTAACTTTCCACAGGACATGACTTTCGACTCTGATTTTGTAACACTTCATATTGTCACCCATTATCTTTGGGGAAAGTCTGAAAACAAATTTAATTATCAACCACATGTATATCTATATATTCCATGCAATATTTTTAAATAGGGCACATTTTGGTGTCACAAACCCAAATAAATGTGATACAATGTAAAAATCTCTAAAGAGATTGTGTATTTTGAATTTTTTCTTTCCTTCCAGAATTACCTTAAACAGTATGTAAAGCTGATTACTAGCTGGTATCAGCTGATAGAGGTTTTGTTAAAACCTAACAGCTGAAAAAAAAAATCAACATCTGAGTTACTGTTGAGCTTCATCACGATACTTACTGGATTCAAGACCTTTTTCCCACCACATTTAAAAATATCAGATGAGTAAGAAAAGGAAGGAAAACGATTAGAAACCATAGTTTGATGCCATTTTCTTTGGCCCAAGAAAAGAAGTGTTAAGTGTACTGACATCATCGTACAGGTCTGGATGCACACCACCATATCAACATGGCTCCTTCCTGCACTTGGACCTGTTCTTTCAGCTACTACACTCTCTTACACGTGCATGTACACACATACACGCTTACACACACACTAAAACTTATGGCATGCTTCTCTTCCCCAATGAAAATAAATAAATTCTTTGTTCAACTGGATGGTTGGAAACATTTTGTTGACATTTTAAAGGAAATTATCAAAATTATATCAAATTAATCCCCAAATGAATATTTTATTATAAAACAAAAAAATACACCTAAATACAGAGTAAAGCTACTTATTATTTATTCATTTCTAGGCAAGATAAGTGTCTGAGAGTACAATGCAGTTCAAATAAAGTAGCTACCTGGCTTGATAAAAAATAGATACTCATTAAAGGTAGAAAATTATTATGAATATTGAAAATAAATATGCAAAACATCTTGAAAGTTTTACAGACTTTGTCCTTAAAAATTATAGTTGATTAGAAACTATACTGTTCTTCTACATTGATACTAAAATAGCTGCACTTTGGCTTAAATTACAACTGGTAATAATCTATACATTTGTATATAAACATAATATTCTTTCTACATTTTCGATTAAAAATTATACAATATTAAAAAGTTTATAAAGTAAATTGCCAACAAAAATATGAACTCATTTATACATTTCTGACATTAGAGAACTAATTATTATAATTATTATGTTATGGAATGCCAAACATGGGCAACATATCTAAGTTATAGAATAGTTATGATGAAATAATAAAAGTGGAAAAAAATTTCAAATCCATAATTTAGTAAATTTGCTCATTTAAATTAAAAAAAATCACCATTATGATTAAATGTGCCAAATTCCATGAGGTTCTGAATGTGTGGATCTTGTTGCTTTGCTAATTTTTGAAATAGGCAACTTCAATCCAAATCCCCGTTTCCTTTTTTATTTTCTTTAAAAGGATCAATTTTTTTTTAAAATGTATGTATGTATGTATGTATTTATTTGACTGCATTGGGTCTTCGTTGCTGCACGCGGGCTTTTTCTAGTTGCGGTGAGCAGGGGCTACTCTTCACTGAGGTGTGCAGGCTTCTCATTGCGGTGGCTGCTCTTGTTGCAGGGCACAGGTTCTAGGCATGTGGGCTTCAGTAGCTGTGGCATGCAGGCTCAGTAGTTGTGGCTCACGGGCTCTAGAATGCAGGCTCAGTAGTTGTGGGACACAGGCTTAGTTGCTCCGTGGCATGTGGGATCTTCCCAGACCAGGGCTCAAAGCCATGTCCCCTGCATTGGCAGGTGGATTCTTAACCACTGCGCCACCAGGGAAGTCCCCCACTATGTTTCTGACACAATTACATTGAGATAAAAGTTTAGGGGGTAAAAAATTTTTATTGAAAGATGAGATTGGTAAACATATTCTTAATACAAAAAATGTGAGTATCTGCCACAATGAGATTTATCCTGTTGGAATACTAGACTGACTGGAGCAAGTGATACACATATGCAAATGTGTCACGGTTAGGAGAAGGAGTTTAATGACCAGATCTTTCTTTGCCTGAGTAAAATGGCTGGAACAGATTCAGTATAAGTACGCAGATCATAACTTTGCTTCAGTCCCTCCCTTTCAGCAAGCCTGTGTCATGCATTTGAACAATATATTAGACACAGGCGGTAAAGAGCTTCTGGCAGATTGGAATCTCTTGATGGGGCTGCGAGCTGGTAATTTTGAGGTAACCGATATTCTGAATGTGCTGCTACTGTAGGGCTCCTCAAGTCTTAGTCATATTAAGAAGGAGCCCAACAGGTTCCTGTTGGTTCAGCTATGCTTTCTTTTTTCATGTACTCACCAATAAACAGTATGTCAACCTGATCCTACCAGAAAGATCAACAGGCTGCCTGAGAAAATATTTTACTTGCTGTTCTCTTTACTCAATGGAGTTTTAGGGCATTAAAGGCAAGAAGGTACTTGGAAAATCCAAAAATGACCTGTCTGTATTAGGATTTTTCCTTGTACTTTTAAGTGCATCAAAAAAACCCACTTTTATGTAGAAATGAATACTTGCTAAAAGAGCAAACTAAATAACTTCTGATATCTAAATGAACAAAAGGAGGAGAAATAAGCTAAAACTGGTAACATATACTTACTACTGTGCATAGTACTGCTTTGAATTGGTGAAGTTAGATCAGATACAGGCAGTGTTTTCACCTACAATATACCTATACTCCCGAAAACCCTTCAATTAGCCACTGATCACATGGTTTCTGACATGTCTAAATTATGATCTTTGCTAACAACAGGTCTGACTGGAAGAGGTGATGTGTACACCCCTCAGTGACCTCTCTGCAGGGCCAGCTTTATCCCTTTTAACTGCTATAACGAGGAATGTTTACGCTAAGTATATTAGCAGTCAGTAGTACTGCAGTTGCTACTGAAAGGCTATATATTTGTATGAAACTCCACAATGAAATTTCTATTTAACAGGGGACAGGCTAGCAAAGGAGTATTTGGATAACTTGTTACCTTACTTACTAAGTGAAATGTCCATATATCAAAAAGGAATAGTTCCAAAATGTTAAAGCACATTATCTTCCCAAGTCCATTTGGTCTTTGAAAATTTGTAAAGCCATTAAATGAAATTTCCTGTCTTTTCCAAAGGGCATGATACTATGTACCTTTACCTAAATATTGTGACAATTAACAGAGACTGTTCTCATGGATGCATTTGTCTGAATGTGGAAAGTCTGCATTCTTAGTGTTTACCGCAAACCCAGCGAAGGTGATGATCCGTCTGAAGGTCAGTCAGTTCTTCAATGGTTCTCCAGCTGCACTGGCAGGCGTATGCCCGTGTTCCTTTCTTCTTTACCAACTTTGTTTTTAATTTGTGGAATTCTGGCATATTGTTCCTATTAGTAAAATAAGAAGGTTTTAGCATAGTAGCTTTGTTCAGTGCTTAATGACTTAAAAAAACAAAAAAGAAATTCTAACTGCTTTATTTTCCTATCTTCACAACATCCAAACGCTAAACTACCTGGTGCTCTCACATGAAAAACAGAAGATACACTTTGGTGTTCTCTTTCTGAGGATTTCAATGTTTTTAAATGGCAATCCTCTAGGTCTGTTTATTAAGGCTGTTGTAGAACACAGTGACCTAAAGAGAATAATTATTGATCTGTCTTACCAGAGACTACATGATATAAGAATAGAGTGGAAAAGATGGTGGTTCATCTCCTATCTCAAATACTCACCTGTGCCATATTTTAAAAGCCTGCAGTGTGGAGGGGCTTCCCTGGTGGCGCAGTGGTTGAGAGTCCGCCTGCCGATGCAGGGGACACGGGTTCGTGCTCTGGTCCGGGAAGATCCCACGTGCTGCGGAGCGGCTGGGCCTGTGAGCCATGGCCGCTGAGCCTGCACGTCCGGAGCCTGTGCTCCGCAACG